ATACAATATGATAAATGGAAGTTTTCACGTATAATAATAATAATAGTAATATAATATATGCATTGAATCAGTTTCTATAGAAAAATTAAAGAACTATTGTTATCAATTTAACAATGAGAAACTACGATGCAATCACGTGATTCCGCTACTGTCGCAGTGGTAAAGATCAGTGACTACATATGAGAAAAGTTTTCTTCGTAGTTTATTGTACTATCAAAAGTTAGAACATTTTTGTTCTAACTAGGATATTAATTCACAATCTATTATATAATTTCATTGTATGTATGAATAAACTGATATAAAGTTTCTGTTTTACGTACTATTGTACGTATGCGTTAGTCATTTTCAATTCAGTGTTAAGTTGCTCGTACAGCATCAAACAGTATCATTATGTTAAATATTTATCAGTGGAATTGTACCACTGTATGCCAATGTGCGTCATCATTTTCGTGTAGAAATGAAAACTGTTTTACTTTAATTCTTTATGATACATCGAATTCAACAAAAAGGATTTACCAAAATAACAACTGAAGGCATTTCTACTAAAAATACTCTACCATAATTGATTTGGTTAAACTATACAAGTGTGGACTTCACTTGTCCTTCTGATAGAATAGAATTGATTAGGTAGTTGTCACCTATCACAGAAATTCTTAAAATGCAATCACCATGTCGAAACTAACAGATTTTATATGTGGGTGTTGTTCCATCGCAACATCGATGTGTTTGCAAATATCGATGACGTACATATATAACATTATTCAAAAATAATGAAAAAATATGTATAAATACAAGTTTACAAATATCATATGTGACAACTTGATTTCCTGGTGGTTTACTCTTATTGAAGAAAGATTTATTATATTGACAAGGTTAGGAAACGGGCGTCAATCATGAAGAATCCTGTGTCGAATCATTTAAATGGAAATAACCATCATTCTGTTTCATCACAAAATGCATCTCCATGTATTATGTCTCATTATGGAAATATGACTAATAATTATCAAGTACTAAAAGTTGCTGGACGAGATTCCAACTGCTACATTGCAAACAGCATTGTTCCAAAAATTGGTAAACAACAGTTGGTGTCATTGAATGGAAGTTCTATATCTTGCAATAGTGTGAATATTAATGAAGCTTTAGCATGTGATGTGGCTTCTGTGCCTGCTGTAAAGACAAAGGCCTTATGTGTCCATATTCGAGAAAACAAATGGTATGATGCTGGTAATGTAGTATCTGTAGGAGTTGCTGGAACTAGTTTAAATCATGCACTGGAAAGTATGTCTTTAGCTTATAATCCTACTACAAAGCAAATATATTCTTTAGAAGAATCTAATGAAACACAACTGGATTGTAAGTCTCAATATTTAGATTCCCCTTGTGATTATAAAGAAGAATCTTTAAATGACAATTTCAAAGTTGATGAAGATAAATATACAAGACTAGAGAATGGTAGTGCAAGCAGCAGTCCTAGAAACAGCTTACCACGTTCTTGCAGCAGTACTGTGTCTTCCCTTAGTGAAGTCTCTCCTTCTGGAAGTTTTTTGGGTTCTGATGACCAACAAGTTGCAGAAAAAGCTGAAAAATCTAAACGTTGGGGACTAAATACACTTTTTTCAAAAAATGTTTTTTTATGGAAAAATAAAGATTCTCAACAATCTACACCTACAAGTAGTCCATCAAGAAACATAGATAAGGTAGGAGGAAGTTTAGCTCTAATTCAACAGCCAAGACCAGCAAATTTACCAGCTAAAAATGCAGTTGAAGAGGAGCGTCATCGTAAGCAATATAATGCTATTCTAGAAGCAGCAAGGAAACGAGAATTGAGAGAAGAGAAAGAACGTAAACACCAAAGAGAATTGCAACTTAAAGAAGAAGAAAGATTAGCAGAAGATTCTCATACTTGGAATGTACATATTCTTCCTAAATTTGAAAGTGCTAAAGATACAAAAAAAATACGTGATCTATGGTGGCGTGGTCTTCCACCCAGTGTTCGTGGTAAAGTGTGGAAACTAGCAATTCCAAACAACTTAAATATAACAACACATCTTTACAATATATGCTTGGATAGAGCAATGTCAAGTCCAATAAGTGAAACATTAGCTGCAATCAAACTAGACGTATATCGTACTTTTCCTACATTATGTGTCTTTCAAGAAGGTGGACCATTATCTGATAGTCTTCAAGGTATTTTGGCAGCTTATGCAGTTTATAGACCTGATGTAGGCTATGTACAAGGTATGAGTTTTGTAGGTGCTGTGTTATCATTAAACATGGAACCTCCAGATGCCTTTACTTGCTTTGCTAATTTATTAAACCATCCTTGTCACAGAGCTGCTTTTACATTAAACCAGAAACAAATGGATATTTATTACAAAGTATATTCTAGCGCACTTGCACATAAGCTACCAAAAATTTTTTCTCATTTTACAGTAGCTGGTCTTAGCCCAGATTTATATTTGCTAGATTGGTTATATACCATATATGCTAAAGCCATGCCTCTGGATGTTGCATGTAGGGTCTGGGATGTTTTTCTTAGAGATGGGGATGAGTTCCTTTTTAGAACAGCACTTGGTGTATTGCATCTGTATCAAGAAGAATTATTAAAAATGGATTTTGTACATGGGGCACAGTTTCTTACTAGGTTGCCAGAAAACTTGCAGGCAGAAGCTTTATTCAACAGTATTAGTCAAATGTCTACAACTATTGGAACAACAACGTTCCAACAAATGTTAGTTCAATTTTCTTCATTGTAATTTTGTGAATTATGATGGAGGATGTAGAAAAGTAGTCATATTTAAAAAACAGAATGAATCTCAAATATTATTTTTGTTATTGTGATCAATAAAAGATATTTTTTATGCTGGAAATTTAAATATTATTTATATACATTTTAAAGAATACAAGTTTGCATAAATTCTATATAATTTTAAAGCATAATTCATTATGTTTTTCTAAATAAATATTGAAAATCTTGTAAGGAAGATTTATTTACAATAACTATCGTTGAGATTTGATTTCTTGGTCAATGTACAAAAAGGATGATTTTATATTAAAGTTTGTTGTATGCATTACAATGTTGAAAGGTGCAATGTACTATTTCATACATTTAAAACATAAAAAAAGCAAGAGCTTCCCATAAAGTCATAAACATATTTTAATAAGTTAATTGTGTACTAAACAAGGCATATAAAAGTATTCTGCTACTAAATAAGAAATGGAAAAAATGAAATATTCAAAGATAGAATTTGACATAAATTTGATACAATATATATATTTTCTATTTCTAAATAAAGAATTAAGGCACGTAATTTCTGATGTACTTTTATGAAATTTGAAAAGGATAAAATTACTAATGGTTATTTTACTAAACTTAATTCATTATTTTTATTTGCAAAATTTTTATTTCACTAAAAAACAAAATTTGTGTATTTCTTACTTTTTGCTTTATAATTGCAATGTAAACTTTTGTTCATAACTTCATTACTGCATATATTTCATAAATAGTAATACACATATAAAGATATGCTATAATATGTGTTATTGCACTATAACTTTAATATACTTTCAAGTATCATTCATATATATGCTATGTCTTTGCTGCAATGTACATCTTAAAAAAATACTCTGATATATGCTTAGATATATTTATCATGTCCAGGCAAAATGTTACATACTCACATAGTATCACAAATAAGCAGAAAAATATTGTTTAAAAACGCTTGAATATCAATATATTGCATGTGTTTACTGATGGTAAATACATTAATGAATATAATACAAATAGTAAAACTATGTGCCACATTATAATACATATGTGTGTCTCAAACAAAATACAGTAAATTTCAACTGATCTTTGATTTAAAAGCTGACTGGTGCAAATGTAACTATCGAAAAACAAATAATTAATTAAGATGTATTATTAAGACACATGATTTAATATATAATATCAATACATTTTCTAAGCTTTAATGATACTCAACATAAGACAAGTGTCCATCGTATGTGAATTAAGAGATTCAACTTTATTATACTTTCATAATAATAGGAAGTCAACCCAGAACAATTAAGGAACAAAATTAATTTTGAATGATATATGATCAATTAAGAAATCTTTAAAAGTACATGCAAATAATGCAAAATTATATCAAGATCTTATCTATCTATAAATAATATATGAAAAATTAAATATAAAGCTC